CGCCTCTCAACAGTTGAAGTAAAGAGCTCATAGCAAAAATGGCCTCCATTTATCAAGAGAAAAGTACATGGCATCATTAAAGGGATGAGACCCTCAAGGTGACGTGGACAGCCTCTATGACACTTTTTTATTACCATCAATTCTACTTATGGAGCCACTTACTTCCCAAAGGCCCCGTAATCTATTTTTAATATTTGCGAGATAAGAGCACTTCTAGTCTTCAAGGAAAGGTTGGATTTTTACTATTACTTTGCTTAAGAAGAGAGAGACATGTTTTTTCTTTAAGACATCATGTTTATATGGAAGTGTAAATGTGTCCAAAGTCTTTTTGCGTTGACGTTTCTACAGTTAAACTGCTGGAAGGACACACATATTGGAGAATCTCACAGATAAAACTACATACAACAAAGAAAATGTTGGCTGAGAAAAATAAAATAAAGAAAAACAGCTCTTCAAGGAGGCAGGCTGACATGGGGCTTTTTAACAAAACTTACTTACTTTCTTTGTGAAAACATATTTTCTTGACTGTTTTTTCTTTTCTTTACGTTCTTCATTTCTTTTACTGGTTAAGCTGCCTTTTTTCTGGTAAGGTTGAGGAACAGAATGCCATTTTCAGCGGGTCTCTAACATGTTTCAGGACAGTTACAGGTGAGCAGGTATTTAGAGAATTTTGATTTGGCATTGAGCCTCCACTGTCTGCATGTTTAAGTGTCCTTGGGTAAGATTCAATAAAGTACAACTGTGTGTGTGCTGCAGTAGGAACAACATGACCTGGGACGAACATGAAAATGAGTGATGTTGTGATCATGATTTGGTTCAGAAAATGTGTCAGAGCACATAAAGTACAGTTTAACCTTCAGAATATTCTAGTTATCCATAAGGTTTGTCACTATTTACTGACTTTTGCATAGCGTAACCTGAAACAAATAGTTGCGCATACTTAAATCCAGATATTCCAAAGAGATCCAAAAAGATTAATTCAAGATTTTGGACCAGCTGTATATTGTTGGAGTGATCTATGGAGCAAAAACAATCTCTGACAGCACTATTAAACAAATGGTATAAACTGTAGGATGTTAAATTGATATATCAACATCAAGCTCATGTCAAATCTGAAATGGAAAATGGACCTTAGGGCCACACAGAAAAAGACCAGACATAATTAAAAACACTCACTCTGTATGTGTTAAAGAAATAAAACTGGCTGCCATATTCACAGAAATCTTTAATTCTTGTGCAGTGACATCGATCTTTGTCCGTTAGTTAGTCATGATATTTATGTTGATTCGAAACACTGTTTCCTGGAGAGTTATCTTTTGTGTTTTTGTGGTGAATGATTTTGTGCAGTCTGATAAAAATGTCAGCAAGCAAACTTGTATGGATAAAACACAACTAAATGAACCAGACGGTGTGGGAAGATCCACGAAACTTTGCTGCTCGTCATTATCATCTGCCTTTGCCTCTCTCCTCCCTCTAATCAGGGCTCTTGACTCAGTGCAGAAGTCATAATTATTAATCTGCTCAGATGATTCACTGATGATTGATGAGAGGCACATCCTAATCAATGGCAAATGCGTGATAAGTGTTTACTGCGGAGATTACCGCAGCAGCACCTCAGGTGGAGTAGCTTTTTCTCCTCATTATACCGCCTGCCCTGTGCTAGCAAATAACCAACCGGCACTTAGATCTGATCTTTAATCAGGGATTATGTGGCACTTGACATTATTTTCAAAAAATATGTTATTCCTCCTGATACTTCGAACCACAGATGCAAAAACAAATGAGTTTTTTTCTTTCTCTCTCTCTCTCTCTCTCTCCCTCTCTCTCTCTAAATTTGTTGGAAACATTTCATCATGAAAAACATGTTTTGGAAGCCCGCAAGGCAATGTTTTTCAAGTTCACATGTTTATGGATGCAATTACACAGCTTTGGGTCCAGATTTTAATTGAGACTTTGTACAGTTTTGTCTTGGACTTTGCATGTAAGAGAACCTTCCGCCATGTTTTCCCTTTCATGTGTAATACCTTGTTTCTGCCTGTTTCTGAGCATTATTTTAGTTAGATTCATGTTCATTAAATCCGGGAATTGTACCACCTCTCAACTATGAAAATTGAAAGCACAAACACTGTTTTAACAAATCTCACCCGGAGCTTTCAAAGTCTGACATTCCTAGCTGAGGGCTGATTTCAGAGACCCACAAAGTGTGAGCAAAGGGTTGCCCAGAATTCAAATACCTCTCATAAAAAAACACAGCACTCAAGTTTGTTTGGAACGTCTCTAGTCTCTTTGAGAATGGCAGAGAAAGAGGTGGATTTTTGGGGCGAGATTGCCCCGGTAAAGCTTCCATCAATCACTCCCCTGGGAGAATGGTTGGATGAGGGGGGGGGGAAACTAGATGGCTCTGGCTCTCCGTGCACAACCTGGCACCAAGACCTGCTTTTTGTTTCTGCCAGGACAGCAATGCCAGCAGGACAAAGTCTTGTCATATCCACCAAAACCAACTGTCATAATAAGCTGCACATTGGCTAACATTAAGATCCCCTATCCCACTGCCAGGATGAGTTGCTTTTCTTTTTACATGCCTTCAATCTGCATTCATTTGAGCAATCAAAACAGTGAGAACCTAGTGCAAATCTGTATGCTTAAACTGACATTTAACAGTACACTTATGATGGATATATATGCAAATACGGACTCTGAATGTCAATCAGCACGGTTAGAAAGAAACAAGGACATTTTTTTCGTCTTTGCACTCTACGTCTATCATATATAAGGCCTTTAAGCACCCCAAAAAACTCAAGGACAGGTGCAGAAGAAGAAACCTCTGGTAGGTGATTTAACCAGTTTATGATTAAAATGGCTTCCTTATCATTTTTATTGTTTCCAAGAGATGAGTGCACACTTGCATTGGGGCACCACTGGGATGCTTGAGTCGGATGAAGAGCTGCGCCGGGAAACAGTCTGCTCTGAAAATGGGCTCAAAACATAATGTTTGGTTGACGGTGTCCCCAATCGACACACAAAGTAGCAGTCTTAAAGAATATTGTGTACCTTTCAACCTCTTGTGGCCAAGGAAAGAGCTTCCATAAATGTGACACCTCTACAAGCCAATCGTAATCACTTTAGCTACAATTCTTTCCTGTGAGTACAGGACACACCAAATCCTCTTCACATGGCTATAGGGGAAGGGGTATAAACCTCCAAAATAAGTTGTATAACTTTAATTTTTTATGCCATGATAAACTATAATTCTATTGCTGCAACATTAGCTGCTGCCCACATATCATATGATGGCAACGGGAATTGTGGGTAACTAAAATAAAGGATATGGATTGAATAGGAGCAGTCCCTAATCAAATCACATGTTTTTGCCAGGCACTTGGCTTATTCTTGAACTTTGTTCAGTGGCATATTCATGATTTAGTCAGGATATACACATCTGTTGGTGATGATGGCCAAACGTGGTGGAGCTGAGATTTCCAAAGTTTATTTCACAAGTCTGTTGCGAAATGTGGTAAAGTTTATGCTGCAGTGATTTTCACAGAGGATTGCTTTTGCTGGATTCCGTATTTCTCTCGGTGCACCAAGTGCTGGGGTGTGTGACAATGGGAGACTTAAAACTGTCTGCAGAGATTAGAAAAAAGCAAGCAGAGACACCTCTGGGTTACAGAGAAGATCTTGCTTTAGCCGTGTTTATGCACAGATAAATGAAATAAAAATAAGGGGATAACTTTCCCTGAAAGAGTGCTCCAGGTCTAGCATGGAATTGAAAAAAAAAGTTGTTGAATTAAAGTGTAAGATCTAATCACCTCCAGTTTAAGATATGTACAATGTCTAGTGTTGCTTTGATGTATAGACTTTTTGTTGCTTCCCAGCTTTCTGTCATATTTGATGCTTGAGTATTTAAATGTGACTATATAATCCAAGATTTTAAAAAAGCAAGCATGCTATGGAAATCTAAAAGCATTATCTACAAAAACTCATTATATTCTACTTAACAAGTTTGATACATTTTCACACTTGCTTCCATCTCTGTTGGAGAAACACATATCTATAAAGTATAATAGTCAAGTCTCATATAAACAAATCTGAGATAAAATATTTTGCCTCTGTGTGTACAAAGCATTTGAAAACTTCTGCTTTACAGGATAAAAGGAATAAATGCATAGATAAATGGAAAAACAGTGACTAATATGGTAAGCCTTTGTTGTCCCAAGAGAAAGAGAAACATACTTTAGAGCATTACTCTT